TACCATGTTATATACAATATCAAATAAAGAAATGATGCTTACCTATGAGGGGAAACCCCCAAAAAAAAAAAAAAAAATAAACTTATTTTCTTATAATAAGATAATTAATAAATAATTAAATTATATAGATAACATGGTAATATTAATATTAAAAATTCAAAAATTTCATACAAATTTATAAACTTATTAACAAGTATTAGTTTAGCTTTAATATAATATTTATATTGTATTATTGTTATCTGAAGAAAGTAATAAAAATCTTTCTAGCAGTTTAATTAGAAATAGTAGGAAAAAAAGGTTTATATCATTTAATACATAATTTAAAGATTGTTATTATTTTTTAAAAAGATTCAATAAATATCATATACTTATTTTTTTTATTAAAAAGAAAATACTGTAGAATAAAATAAACCATTTACAAATGATTTAAAGATTATATGTCTAGTTAAAGTATTTTTTAAAAAATAATGTTTTTATTAAAATAAAAGGCAAATCATTATGTTCTCTTTAATATGTATTTACCATATTTTTCATAAATATTCTAAAAACGCCTAGAAAGAAATTTTTTACTAAAGATCAAACAATAAATCATAATAGGGCTTTAAAAATAAAAAATCGATATTTTAATTCTTTAATAATTACTTGAGAAAATCAACTAACATTTATCGATTGAAAGTAATTTCGTTACAATCTTATTTCAAGTGTTTTTATGTTTTCGAGAATAAGATTATATAGCGAATGTCGCAAATCTGGGAACTCGAAAACTGCTTTCAAGTTTAAAACGAGTTTGTAAATTATATACAAGATTACATAAATAAATATACCTGCTAAATTACAGGAAAAACCAAAAGCTCACGATATGATTGTATGATATTAAGATTATTTATTTTATCCAGGTAGTATGGAATATTAAAAATAAGCAACGACAATCTTCACCTGATAATTTACAACACGTATGTCGAGGAGACAGATCTCACGCCATCAAATATACAAGTGTTATTTACGGTAACATATTGATGAGTGATAAGCTTAATTACTTCCTGAGAAACCAAACCGCCAATCAACGATGCAATGTTGGGTAATTCGGATCCACCGGCTCGACAACTGTACAGAATAATTGGGTTCAGAGAAGAATATGGGGAGAAAAGGGAAATTGACAAAAAGTAAAAGTAAATGGGAATTACATCTCGTGAATATAGTCATCCAAATGCTCGGGTGGGTTCGAGATCTGCCAAGCTTCCAACAGAGAATGAACTTGAGCTTTCAGTGACTCAAATTCTGATTTCGCTGCTTCACCGAGCCCTTCTGAATCATCTTCACTAAAGAAAGTCGCTGCGTCTTTTGAAGGACATTCCAAGGTTAAATAGTGATAATTTCCAAGTTTTCAAATCATGAACAAATATTTACCAGGGTGATGGAGATGAGTCGCGTAAAATCGATCAACCGCCCGAAGGAGGACGTAGTGAATAATATTATCTTGTGGATCCTGCAACCATTGTTCTAAAATATCGAATGGTCAATTAATTAACGGCAAAGATATAATATTAGAGGGTAACATACGCATTTACAACTAATTACCCAATTCCACTTTCTTTGGATCACTTATATATTCTTCCTGTAACGACCTATACCGAATGACTTTGATGTGAGCAGCATTCTTGCAAAAACTGTCAATCTCGTCGTCGTGTATAGAGTCGGCCGTTCGTCCAATCGAATTCAAGATGTCATTGACCCGAGAGCGAATCACGGAGATATCCTGTCTTGCTTGTTGATGGTAACTGAGGTGATCAAGTCGATGAGAAAGATTAAAGAGTGTAATAAGCGGGTGAAACGACTTTCTTGTCACACGTACGCGGATTGCAATGCGACATATCCTGTGGTGTAAGCCTTCATGTCTGGCACAGTTCCCGCCAACGGTAGTAAACCTTGCCCTTCGTTGGCCACAAAATCTCGAATGGCACGGGCAATGATCCAGAAATTAGATGACTTGATGTAATTAAGGATCGCTTACAGTTAAAATCTAGGTCACATGAGGAGGTAATAATCGGTAGAAGTAAAGTGAACATACATCTGCGGTGATGTTTTCGCAAGTGGCATCATTGAGTATCTCTTCGATTTCACGTGGCACTCTGGAGGGCATACATGCTTTCCACACATTGGCCAACGCCTCATCAAAGTTCTCTTCGTCAGAACATCGCTTACCCCTGGATATTATCGACTTATACTCGTCCCTCTCAGAATATGTTCTTGGTAAATTCCCACCGTGCTTTGTTGGACGTCAAAATGTGGTAAGAGCAACGAACGCATTTAGATTTTAACACAATAACATGGTTGTATTAGGTGTTACCTCTCGTTTCCATTGATTCAGATACTTTAGCAGGATCACCACATAAGGAATATGGCCGTGATCCGTGGGATCCATCGAATCGAAATCAAAGGTATCAGCAAACTGTTGGAGCGCGGGGAAAGGTTTATCCAGCCTTAGATCATTGATATTATCTGGGTGCGTCTCGACGACTAAGGGAAACCGCATTGAGATGACAAGAAATGACACTATGAAAGGCACAAAATATGAATGTCTAATGATCTACCGGTATGCTCTGGAACAATGATGCGAAAATATCCTATGAATCCAACGGAACGCACTACGACCAGCGGGATTTTTGCAATCCATAGAATCTCGGCTAATTTTAATAGGGAGTTCTCGGGAATTTCGGTGGCAATAACAATGGTAAATTGTAAGAAATATTCGGGTCGAGTTTCGATGATGGTGACAGGATCCTGCGAAAAAATGTTGGGAATTTTGTCACGTGCATTATTTAGATTTTTGATCCACGAATTAGATGCGCATTCAATTAACCTCAGCAAGGTGGAATCCTTTAACATCCTCGTTCAATTCTTGCAAAAGTTCGGTGACCGCCTGAGCCCTACTTGAACCGATTTTGTCAGCATCCAAGAAGAAAGTGATACCGGCGTCGGCACCGTCCACCAACTTCCCGTCGACCACGGTGAAAGATCCGATGCCTAAATAATTTGGTTGCAACGAGCGATCAATATTCAGGCGTATTAGCAAAGAATGTCGGAGACGATAGTAACGGTACCAGGTAAAACTAAATCTTTTATTATCTCGCACCCGGTAGCCGTGCCGTTGATGAGACACACTTTTGAATTTTCCAAGGCTAGCTGACCCTCAGCTTGCCACAACCTGTGTAGTTATTTTTTTCAGGAATGTCTGATTTTAGATAATCGCCGAGCATTTTACCGGTTTGAAGGTAATGGCTAAAAACTAACTAATAAACTAACCGAAGTTGGCGATCATATTTCTGGGTCTTTTTGTCCACAAGCATTTTCCTAAATTCGTTTTTTTGACCGTGAATTATGCGTATATACGTATGCATTGGTGGCTTATGAAGTCACGAGACAAAAAGCGAAATGCGCGATTGGTTAAGTTTACAATGTCTTACAGAAATCGAATCCCGAGAAAGTTTGATAATAAAGGTTTATTAATTTTTTTATAAAGATGTGGTGATGTCTTTCAAAAAAAAAAAAGATATAAAAATACATGATGCAATAAGAATAATTTTCATTCCCTTCAAGGGACTGTCCTCACAACATCATCAATAGCCTTCGCAAAATATTCCACATTCGAAGTTGTTAGACCTGCCATTGATACACGACCATTGCTCGTTAAATACACGTGATATTTTTCTTGAAGAACTTGAGCTTGTGATGCTGGAAGAACAAAGATTTTAAGAAATTTATACACAGTAAAATTTAGATGATGAAATACATCGTAAAACAAGAAAAAAGCTATTCACCATTAAGCCCTGTATACGAAAACATCCCAATCTGATCAACGATGTGATTCCAATTACCGGGAGTACCGAGTTCAACGAGTTTTTCGAAGAGACGTTTGCGCATCTCCTTGATGCGTGAACTCATGATTTGAAGATTGTCGATCCTGTGCAATCAATGAATTAAATGTCAGCGACGTAAAGTTCCAATTTTAAACCAAAGAATCACTTTATTTCCAATCACCATTCAGCATAGAGCATGGGGTCGTTCAGTATCAGATTGACAATGCGGGCACCATGCAACGGAGGATTAGAAATCTCTGCACGTTGAAGTTTGGCAACCTGACTTTCCACCTTCGTGGCGGTCTCTGAATTTCTTAGGACAATCGTAAGGCACCCTGCCCGTTGGCCTAAGTGTGGAAAGAAAGGGTTAATTCTAAAAATAATTTTTTTCAAACGCCGAGGTGGTGTATACCAACCATACAGCCCAAAATTCTTAGCGTAGGATTGGCAAACAAGTAGTTCAAAGCCACGATCTACAAAATAACGTATGGACCATGCATCACGATCTATATCACCGCTGGCAAAACCCTGATAGGCACAGTCAAAGAAGGGAAAATGTCCTTTTGCCTATGTACAAAAACAGTAAATATTAACATGGGAAACAGAACTAGGTCACAAATGTACGCGCATAGATCTGAATTCGATATCATACTTCCATGACATCGGCGATGGCCTTCCATTGTTCATGATTAGGGTCCACACCTGTCGGATTGTGTGCACAGGCGTGTAACAAAACAATCGACCCATTCGGCGCACTCTACATAAAATACGGAGTGAATAGGTCTTCGTTGCTAAAGTATGAATAACAGTAGAATTTGTACTTTGAGAGAGTTTAAAAGGCCATCAATATCTAGCCCGAGCGTTTTTGGATTGTAATAGATGTACTCTCTAACATCAAAGCCAACGGTATCGAAAATTGGTTTATGGTTTGCTGGCGGATGAATGGATGAATGAATAAATGAACGAATGGAAATTGTGTTACAGTATGTTCGCGCGCAAAGTTTAAACAAGTAGAGTCAGGACGCAACGCATACCCCAGGTTGGCTTCGATACGAGAAAAACTTTCTGTTGATAAAATTTTGACAGGAAGATAGCTCCAAGGTGATTGGCACCTGTACCGGATATGGTCTGGGCAGTGACGACCTGACGTCAAGAAGATTTTATTAATTTCAATTCACCCATTACCAATTTAATTTCTTCATTACTCACTCGTTTTTCCTTGATGACCCGATTATTGGAACCGAGAATCAATTTTGCCGAGGCGTCCCTAAACGATTTAAGACCTAATATAGGCAGATACTCATGATCTAATGTAGGATCACTCGAGATTATCTTTTCAGCCTGAAATTTGAAATTTCCTCGTGGTTAATTTTTTTTTTTCATTTCTCCATGGAGGCATGCTGGAAGGAAGAAAGTCTTTACAAAATCTTCAACGTACCTTTCTCACAACTGGCAAGACCCATGGTTTTCCGGAGTCGTCTCGATACGCTCCAACACCCAAGTTCACTTTCTGTGGACTGCGGTCATCCTTGTATCTCGCGGTTAAACTGAAAATGGCATCCGGAGGTGCAAGTTCAATATCTTGAAAGATAGATGAGGCTATTATAAAATCAAACTATTCAGTCAAGACCGCAGGTCAACTCGAGTAATTTAAAGGAACGTTCAAGAATAAATAGATACAAGTCATTTTGGTCAAATGTTTTTGGATTTGATCGAGGCGCTGGTTAGAAGTCATAGGAGAAAGTGGATGTGGTACTATTATTGTTTATATAGTGACTCGAAGGATGGTTAAAAAAAGTAGTCCACGTTTTTTGTGGTTGCACAATTTCCTAACGCACCGTGGGAAAGTGCGTGCGTACATCCATGCATACTTGCGTACGTAATACACATAACAATCTAATTTGAGCAGATCATCTCGTGCGACCGTACATTCAGAAACCGTTCGTGTATGAACGTTAGTTCGGCTCGCTGAATCCCGATACGTGCATGCTGTTGATCAACAATATAATTTGTTTAACTGATGGAACCAAATTTTATATGAGTAATAATTAAATGACGCATAATGACGAAAAGTTCACCATTTACAAAATGTGGTTTATTTAGGATATTTCCAAGCAAGTAATAAAAATTTCATATTAAAAATTCTTGGCCCTACTTTTGTGAATAATATTAAAAAGACCGAATCTTGCATGATTTTGAGGAACCAGGTTTAAGGTATCAAAAAAAATAATATATTAGTCATCAGAGATAATCATATTTGCTGGAAAATCCTTTAGCGCACCACCACCCACGATCAGTATTTTGACGATCTGGGGGATTTACTGGGGAGCGGGGATGCCTTATTAGAAAGTGGTGGTGTATTTTTCCTCCGTGATGTGGATTTTGTCCCATTTTGTTGCGGATTGGTGGTTACATGCGTGGTTTGATAATATGTATGCGATTGTGTTTGTGGAGGTGTTTGTATGTTGGGGGTAAGTGCGGATTCGTGTGGATTTGGGCTCATATTTTTTCTCAATGAGACAGAATGAAAGAATGACAATAACTAAAATGGTGTGAACAATAAACCATTCTCAACAAATGAAATCTTGGTCTAACTCACGATCCAGCTGGTCGTCCTCTTTTTCTCTTTTTCATCTGATTGGCACCAGTGCAATGATCACAAAACCACCGGCCTTCCGGCACGGCCTTCAGTCCGACGCAATCAAGATGATACCATTCAAATGGACAATTCTTGAACACGAAAATTCCCTTATGTTAATTTTATGATGTTCTTTTTTGAGATATCGATAATTTTCTTAGAGCGCTCTTACCTCTCCATCACAACCAATCATTTCTCCAAAACTAACTTGTCTACAAACACAGTATACCGGTTCGTTTGGATCAATGGGCTGAACGTAACCCGACTCATAAGAGCTGTTTTCCGCCACAAGCGTATTATCATATTCATTCATAGTCTCGGAATCCAGAATACTAGAATTATCAATTTCGCCTGCGTCTTGGTCAACGATTGATGATCCCGTGTTTATGTGCTCGTCACCAGAAAGCAATCGTAATTTGATACTTCTGGAGGAGGGGGCATTGTTGCCGACTGGTGTTGATGAATCTACGTTCGGCACATATGTCGGTGTGTGACTGAGATCATTGTGAAAGAGAATTAAAAATTGTCCCAAATAACAATTGTAATAGTGATGATCAATAATGGAAATTCAACAGAAAAAAAATAAATTATGATTATGATTATATGTTTTCTTTCCATAAAAAGTACCTTTGTTTCCGACGTCGCCCGTTATTAGCTACAGTTGCTATTGATGATTGTCGTCGTCCTGACGCTGTAGAGTCTTTGATCAGTGGAGAAAATGTTTAAGAACTCGAATGAAAAATCTTCTTGACCATGACCCATCAGTTGTAAATACCTTTATTGCAGCGGGTTGCTGAAGAACTTGATGGATTTGGTAATAAAGGCAATGCTGCATGTATTGGATTTTTTTAAAAAAAATCGTAAATAATTGACTGACGTGAATAAATTTTTTTTTTTAAAAGTTAATTGTAAAAAAAAATAATTTTTATTAATCTTTACGAATCTCAAAATTTCTCAAACATTCGGATGGCTTACAGAATTGGCCTTCTTCGGTAGTATCTGCACCTGACGGATAATATAATCCGTTGTTGTAGTCAAAAGGTGTTGTGTTAGGGAATGTCGATGTTGAAGCTAACGTTAACGCTGTGGATGGTTGATGCACTGTTGCTCTGGTCGTGACTGGAGTGCCATTGAAATCTGTTATCGTCTGAATCGTTGTCGCCGCACTCATCGATTCTATTCTGCTGGGACTGGAAGATGCCGAGTTAAAAGACTCGTTGATACACTCGCGAAGATTATAATGCGGAAATAGACTGCTGAAATCCTCGTCAAGACGTTTGATGTGTCTTTCCACCTAAAATCGCAAATTTCCCCCTCGAAAAATCAGATGCATCGAGTTACAATGAATGAAACCAAGAATCAAAATAATCCGCTTACTAGTACAAGGGCTTTGTCTGCAATCTCGATTTTCTCATCTTGTAGTTGTGATGCTCTCACGTAATCTTTGATTATCTTATCTTTGAGAACTTCTTCATCCTCGAACTCCGTTATAACGCGGGCAACACGACGTCGCTTCTTTTTGACCGAACTCTCTTCGTTTTGTTCTTCGTCATTTTTTTCTTCTTCTTCGCTATCTGAATCGTCAGCTCCATCCTGATCTTCGTAAACGTTTTCGACAACCGAGCAATCGCTATCTTCGTCTTCGAAAGGAACCCCATCGTATAGACACCATAACCTCTTCTTGCGACGCTCAATTCGGTCTGTTATCTCTTAACACGATGATGGGTTTGATGCGTTGAATGAAAAGAAAAGCTCTGTGCGTCCAATCACGGATCAAACATGCACATTACACTCACTTTCAATTTCTTGATCCTTATTCGTGAGTTCTGTAAAGTGATAATGAATTTCCGATGGAAGATTATCGATGCCTATAATGAATTATATGACAAACACGTTAGATCGCCTCATCGATAACAACATTGGAAACAGCATTCCAAGCAGGGCATTGATGCCAGCACAGAAAATTGCGATCCGTACTCCCTAGGAATTGTATCAAATATTCATTGGCGTCTATGGCCTCCATTTTTCAATAATAAACTTTTATGCGCACTTTCAATTGTTTTATATACAGGATCCGAAGGAAGTGCTACTTTTTTTTTGTCAGGTGAGTATGCAGTTTGGTAAAGATCTCTGGTGAAAGAAGATGAAATGTTATATGATTCGCCGCTGAAACGACATATTTTAATGGTGATCAGCAAGTGATTGGCCTGCGTAAAAAACGTAATACGTATTAATGACCATGTACATTTAATCATTTAATATTTTTCTATTACAATACATAAATAAATATACATTTCTGTATAAAAAACATCGAATCATAGTGTTTGGTGCACCACTCACCACACCACAGGCTTACGTAAGCGTGGTAAAATTCGTGATGTTACGCGCTATTGTGGTGTTTCCTCAAAGCACGTATAAGGAGTTGTAATTATTGTATATACAGCATATTTTTAGTTACGAAAATAACGATTTCATTATTATTGGAAATTAATAACAGGATATTAAATATTTTATTGATATTTTCAAAATTCCATTTCGTGATTTAATTTATTAATTACCACTCTACATATATGATAACCAAAATTAATGTTTAAGAACACTTTTTATGATGAAAAGGATTCAAGTGCAATTATCACGGAAAGTAACATTCAAAGTTCAATTCCATTGCAAACCACATATGTATATATATAATTTTATTTGATAATGTAAAAGCTTGCTAGCTATATATTTAAAAATATTACTGAAATCCTATATAATTATAAAATATACAGTGTGTAACAAAACTTTTTGGAATTTTATTTACGTGACATAAATGTGAATAACTTTTTCAAAACAAAAGC